TAAAATTTGGTGTCTGTTCTGCAAACACTTTGATCTACGCGGTGTTTGCAGACAAATCGAGCTATCAAGCTGAAAATCGGTTTCCAGGGGTAAAAAGTTATGAGAGACTCGATTGTGATGGTTTCCGATGCTGAAATAGAATGTTTGAAACGAAAAATGGCGATTTTCACAGTCCCAGAGTAGGAGAATGAGCTTAAAACTATCAAAATCGAGTTTATCATGACTTTTCATCCCTGAAACCTGATTTTCAGCCCATTAGCTCAAAGTGTCGTGAATCGTGGTGTCTGGTGTGCAAACACCGCGTAGATCAAAGTGTTTGCAGTCAAGGCAAAAGATTTACGACAAATTGAGCGAATTTCAAATATCTCGGTTGTTTGAAAAACGCGCTCTACTGAGAACAGCTTCAGAAATCGAAGAAATTTGAATTTTCAAGATTTTTGAGAATGCGCTCCATTGAGATTTCGAGAAATTCGCTAATTCTTGTATATAGCTGAAAAAGGCGCTCTATTGAGCACAAACTCAAAATTCTGAAACGTCGCTCTACTGAGAATGACTTTTCCGACGTCTCGGTAGAGCGAATTTGCAAAAACCGAATTTCAAAATTTTGGAGTTTTGAGGTTTTCTCAATAGAGCGCATTTTCAAAAATCCAATTTTAAAAATTTTTTTGAGGTTTTCTCAGTAGAGTGCATTTTCAAAAATCCAATTTTGAGGTTTTCTCAGTAGAGCGCATTTTCAAAATCCAATTTTAAAAAAATTTTTGAGGTTTTCTCAATAGAGCGCATTTTCAAAAATACGAAAATTCGGAATTTGATGATTTTCAAAGCATTTTCCTGAGGTTTTTGCATTCTCGAAAGTTTTTATCAATAGAGCGCATTTTCAAAAATTCGGAATTTAAAATTTCGTTATTTTGAAACCTATTTTCTTTAGGTTTTTGAATTTTTTGAAAGAAGGTTTTCTCAATAGAGCGCATTTTCAAACTTCTTGGAACTTGAAATTCAGTGATTTTGAAGCCATTTTCCGGAGATCAAAGATTTTCTCAATAGAGCGCATTTGGAAATGTGCAAAATTTGAAATTTAAGATTTTCTCAACGAAGCGCATTTTGCAGACCTCGATGAACGTGAACGACATTTTCATGGCGATAGCGAAGAAGCTGCCAATCGGACCGGCGCAGGGAGAGCCAACGGGCACCGTCGACATGAATCAGCCACAGCAACAACAGAAGGGATCGTGCTGTAAATAAATTTGGAATTCTGGAATTTCTTCTCTGCGTCTCCTCGTCACACACACACACACACACTCTCTCTCTCTTCTCTCTCTCTCGTTTCGCTGTGTCCTATATCTTGAATCCAGTCGCCTGTGATCGATTTTTCTTCCCTCCCCCTCTCTCTTTTTTTCTCTCGCACTCTCCTCATTTTCTATACTATTTTTTCCCATTTTCTCGAAATTCCCCATGAAAAATAACCCCGAAAAAGCTCTTTTTTGTATATTGCTGACACTAAATTTTCCCGTTTTGAGCTTGCTTTTTCCCCCCTATAAAACAGTGTCTAATTATATTATTTATTGCTTCCGTCTTCCCTGTTTTACTATTTTTTCCCAATTTTTAATTATCCCGAATTTTGTCTTCCGACCCCATCCCTCATCCCATTTTATTGCACCCCTTCTTCCAGCCCCAAAAATACCCCCAAAAATGTTCTGAAATTTTTCGAATGTTTTTTGAGGATTTGAATAAATTTGAATTTCCCGCCAAACAAACACTTTTTTCCTGACTAAAATGCCTTTTCGTTGGGACACGATATCAACCTATACCCCCGCCCCCTTTTCCGAAAAATTCAAATTTTCGAAAACAAAAAGTTTGTTCAGATGTCCGCAGAGCCACCAAAAGACGCCAGCGATGCTCCAGGACCACCAGCGCCGATTCAGCCGACGTCGTCGAGAAGTAAAAATTGAGAAAAAAAAACAAGAAATTGAAGAAAGTGCGCTCCGTTGAGAAATTTGCGAAATGTTGTCAATGGAGCGCATTTGCAGAGTTTCAGACGAATTTTTTAAATGAAAAGTCTAATCTAAAATACTGCTAAACTTTAAAAGTTGACAAAAAAAACGAAAAAAAAATTAAGAGAATGCGACCCATTGAGAAAAGTTCAAGTTTTTGTCAATGGAGCGCGTTTTCAAAATTTTCGTGTGATAATATAAATGGAACATGGCATTAGAACTATGGCAAAACTTGAAATATACTGAAAATTTGAAAAAAAAAACGAGAAATTGAAGTAGATGTGCTCTATTGCGAACATTTTGACATTTTTGTCAATGGAGCGCATTTGCAGAATTTTAGATGTATTTTTAAAATAAAAAGTTGTATTAAAAATACTGCAAAACTTGAAAATTTTACAAAAGTGGACAAAATTGAAGAAAATGCGCTCCATTGAGAAAATCTCGAAATTTTGTCAATGGAGCGCGTTTTCAATATTTTTAGATGAAAAATTAAAAATATATATATAGTTGCGTTAAAACTACCACGAATCGTGAAAACTTAAACAAAAACAAGAAAAATGGAGAAATCGCGCTCTATTGAGAGAACTCCGAGATTTTTGTCAATGGAGCGCGTTAGCAAAATTTTAGATGAAAACGCGCGCTACTCTATTGCTGAAACTTTGACTTTTTGTTAATGAAGCGCGTTTTCGTTAGTTTTGGGGAGAAATTTTGCAGATTGCGAATTTCAAAATTTGAGAAAAATGTAGAAAATGCGCTCTATTGAGAAGGATTCGAAATTTTGTCAATGGAGCGCATTTGCAGCGTTTTCGGGTGATCATTTAAATGGAACGTGGTATTATAACTACGGCAAAACTTGAAATATACTGACACTTTGAAACAAAAACAAGAAATTGAAGAAAACGCGCTCTATTGCGAAATTTTTGACATTTTTGTCAATGGAGCGCATTTGCAGAATTTTTGGGAGAATTTTTCGATGAAATGTTGTATCAAAATTGAAAATTTAACAAAAGTCTTTCAAAAAACGTTTGAAAAAAGGAGAAAATACGTTCTATTGAGAAATTTTCGAAATTTTTGTCATTAGAGCGCATTTGCAGAATTTCAGATGAAAATGCGCTACATTGAAAAATTTGCGAAATTTTGTCAATGGAGCGCATTTTCGTTAGTTTTGGGGTGAAATTTTAAAGATTGCGAATTCGAAAAAATGAGAAAAAAGCAGAAAATACGCTCTATTGAGAATATTTTGGATTTTTGTCAATGGAGCGCATTTAGAACAGCGGAGTTTTAAAATTTGTCTAGAAGGTTGTATTAAAAATACTGCGAAAATCGAAAATTCGTGAAAAAAATGGAGAAAATGAAGAAAATACGCTCTATTGCGGAAATTTGGAATTGTCATCAATGGAGCGCGTTTTCCATAGTTTTGAAGGAAAATGGCAAAAATTTGGAAAATTTGATAAAAATTGACAAAAATTGAAAAAAACGCCCTCGACGGAGCAAATTTTGAATTTTTTGTCAATGGAGCGCACTTTCGCATTTTCCGTGAAAACGCGCTCCGTTGACAAAAACCACCTTTTTTGAAAACCGCGCTCCAATGACAATTTTCAGCTGCACGCGGTCGTCGTCGTCTCACTGCGATCCCCCAGGATCCGCAGTCCCCGCGAAATGAAGGCGTCAAAATTCTGAGGCCTTCTGAAGTGCCCGAACGAGCACCAATGCCAGAATACAAGCCGGAAAAGGATACGAAAGTGATGTAAGTTTTAAAAAGTTTCCGGGAACTTTTTTTCTCAAATTCTCACTAGAGCACACTTGCAGTCTTCCAAAACACATTCCAATGGATGAGCTCTACAAACACTATCGTAACGATGAGCGAAAAGTGGACATTCCGGAATTTATGGATTCAGAAGCGCTGATGGAGTTGGCTGAAAAGAGCGGTGACGTCTTCACATTCAGAAGTCGCAACCACGTGGATCCAGAAGACGTCTGGCAGGAGATCCAGATGAATGAAAAGGAGGGAAAGCCCAAAAAAGTGGATGACGTGGAATTAGAAGTCGTTCGAGTCAAAGAAACGGATGGGGACTTTCGGAAGGCGTTTGTGGAGAGATCAAAACACTGTTTCGGGCGGATTGTGCATGGATTCAGCTCTAAATTGGAGGTAGGTCTTGTTACGAATTTTAAAACCTATTTTTTAGTTTTTGAAATTTTCGAAAATTCAAATTTTTAAGAAAGTTATACTCAAAAACCCTCTATCATTCGACCTAAGTTTTTAAACGCCTACAAAAGAACTTCAAACTTTTTCAAATCTACTCAAATTGTGAGAATGTACTAAACATGTTTGGAGCTTTATTTTTGCAGTGGACAACTTTTTGATGCAAACGCGCTCTGA